ACAATTTTCCTCGGTCAGAATACGTGGCAGGTATGCCGAAATACATTAGGAAATTTACAATGCTGTGTATTTGTTTGCCATTCTCGGTTAGACATTTCCCATATCGACGCACAGACATGCATTAGGTGTTCACACACAAATTCATTAATTCATGTAACCTCAGCGCGACTACGAATACAGACACTCTCAAATAAAATAAATGAATGATTCGTCTGTTTTCCCATGTTTTTCATCGGAATGAATTTGTGTGTTGGTTAGAGAGAGAATGGCAACGCACATTCATTTGAACACAGTACTCGTATAAACATTTCAAACGACAAAGTAAATAGCATTTTATCGTTTACAGATAGAGGAATAAGTTGGTAAATGTGTTTTGCTGTGTGTGGTTTCGTCATTGGCAGATTGTGGTGGTATTCAAAATTTCGTTTTGTTTGCGAATACCGAGTAATGCCGGTGCACAATTTACCAACGTCAATATGTTTGCGTGGTTTTTGCTTTTTACGGTACAAATATTTCTCTGAAAGCGACAGCATCTCCATTGTATTTGCATGCAGAGAGCAACGTTGATCTTGGTTATATCTAACACAAGTCATACGTTTATTATTGTTTTTGATGCGGTCAACTCAACCAGCCTGGAAAATGCACACCAAAAGAACAATCTTTGTTTAAAATCAACATTTTCTATTCTCTTCTCTTTTTTTCTCATTTTTGTTCAGTGCATAAATAAAACATTCATTTTTCGATAATTTGATATATTTTTTCTACAAAGTACGGTTTATGATATCAACCCCAAGAAATAATAGTAGGTATTTTATTTGTTTTTTTTTTTTTCTCCCGAAGCATTCTCCGCGGTAAAACATGGTGCAAAGTCATAGGCAAATGAGAATACGAATGGAAAGTTTGCAGGGACCGTGACTCAGGACGATTTCATTAAAATAACTTTAAACGTGAAAAACGCTTTCGGCGTTGGAATAAAAAAATGATCAACCAGAATTACTAATTCAGTGTAAATATGCCAAAAAAAGAGTGTGAGACGTAGGTAATGAAAGCAACCGACTGTGTGAGCTAGGTGAACTGACGGAAACGCAGCAGTGGCAGAATTGAAAAGTGGTATTATAAAGTGAGCGCAGGAGCGACCAAATAAATAAGAAATTGTGTGCGAGTATCAATTTCACGGTTGGCGATTTCTTCAGTGAATGGCGGAAAAAAATTCAAACAGTAATATGATGATGACTTTTGCAATTTAAACAGTAAACTTTAATTGCAATATAATAAAAAACTATTAATAAAACTTTGTTTTTGCAATCAATTCCATTATAGAATTCAGATAAAAAACATTTGGCGCAAACAAAATATTTCGTTCTAAAATTTACTTTGCCTAATTTTCAATCAAAATGGTCTTCTTTCGAATTTTAATCAAATTTTCCACACTTTTTCAATGAAAAAGTTGATTGAAGCAATGACTCGCCAGTCTGTTGGCATTTTTGAAATGTACAATTGATTCAAAAGTGTGAAAATAACACATCTTACCATTTGTAATGAAAATTGAAATAAAAATTAACACCCTCTTGTATAGCCCAAAGTTAAAAGCAATTGCAAGAAATAAAAAGCAACCAACAGTGAAAAACTTTATACATTTAACTGGATGCGTTCTATGCATTTCAGTTCCGGCGGTTCGGATGTGTAGATAGATATTTTAATAAAATGAAATTTAATTTTCCAGTGAACATACAAATAGTCGATGCGAGTCGGAGGGCGCGCAAGCTACGTGAAAATGGCACAAAATTGTTTTTAACATGGTTTGAGTATGTTGATTTCATATGTGAATTGTTTCGTACTTGTGAATATAAAATCTGCGCTGTGAATCTCTCGATACGGTCAAAATTGAATTTTGACGGTAACTCTCAAAATGCATAACACGCGTCTCTATCCATTATTTTTGCAATGAGTTTCGTTTTATGATGCAAACTATTCTTTTTTTTTCATTCGCTCGTTCCCTTGCTCTAATTTATTTTCGTCCCGCTGGTTCATACGTCTGTCTCGTTCAGAACATAAATTGCTTTCTATTCGCCGACAGCGCAATCATAATAATAACTCGAACAAAACGCACAAGCATTTAATGCACCTTCACAACAATAGTTAATCAACAACATTTTGGATCAGCAGGGAAAAACAATTGTGAATAGAATCGATGTTCACATTGAATGGTATCACGACAGATAGTTGTGTTTTTTTCTGATTCAGTCACTCACCTCATCTCGCCTCGCTTCAACGTACAAAAATCGTACAAATGTTCAAATGGTGAACAGTTAAAGTGTATGAGATTTTTAATTGATAATTTATTTACAGGGTGGGCCAGAATAACTGCAATTTTTTTTCGCACCTATGTAGATACTACTATAATAACTTTCCAGTCACTCTTTTGTTTACCGTTATGTTTATTCATGTTTTGGTTATCCACTGTGATGATGCACATTATTGCGCAGTTCTTGTTTACTTTGCTACAATAATGGATGTGAAACGTCAACTCGTTTTGAATTTGCATAAAAAAGGTTTGCGACAAATTGATATTTTTCGGAAGCTTCAGATCGACAATATCAGTTTGAATTTTATTCATCGCACCATAAAACGATACAAGGAGCGTGGAACTGTCGATGTGAAGCGAAAAACGGGCAGAAAAAGATCTGTACGAACAAAAGGTCTGGTCCAAAAGGTACGAAAGAAAATTCTTCGAAATAACAAAAGAAGCGCCAGAATATTAGCTCGTGAGCACAATATCAGTCGATCTTCAATGCGACGAGTGTTGAGAGAAGATTTGGGAATGAAACCATTCAAAAAAACCCGAAAACATGGTTTGACAAAAAAAAATAAGCAAGATAGAAAGCGAAAATGCAAAGAGCTGCTAAGCCGGGCCGCAACCTCAAACATCGTTTTCTCCGACGAGAAGTTGTTCCTTTTGCAGCCAAGTCTCAATGCGCAAAATGATCGTGTTTACGCAGCGACAATTGAGGACATTCCTGAAGATGATTTAGTCGTTGAACGATATCAAAATGTGTCAAGTGTCATGGTTTGGGGCGCCGTTTCGGCCGACCACAAATTTCCCCTTGTTTTCGTTGAAAGTGGCGTTAAAATATTGCGCAAAAAATTGTTGCCACACGCCAAAAAAGTGTTTGGTAATGAACCATGGGTGTTTCAACAAGATGGGGCACCGTCACATCGAGCAAACAGAGTGCAACAGTGGTTAAAGGAAAATGTGCCTGATTTTATTGACAAAGACGAATGGCCGCCATCGTCTCCAGACTTGAATCCATTGGATTATTTTGTGTGGGGCTACATGCAATCAAAGTTAAATGATCTGAAGATTACGAAAACCACAAAATTGGATGCATTTAAAAAGAAAATCGTCAAGATTTGGAACGATATTCCCATCGAAATGGTGCGGTCCGCGTGTAAATCGTTTTTACGACGTTTGCGTTTGGTGATCCGTGCAAACGGAGGAAGAATCAAAACCAAAACATGAATCTAAAATTTTGGACCCTATTCTAAATCCCAATAAAGTTTTCATTCAATTTTAGTAAAAAACAATACTTTTTCTGAGCACATATAAAAATTGCAGTTATTCTGGCCCACCCTGTATACGTGCATTTTGTTTTTTTTTTTATTCAGGCACTCGTTTCGATTTTGATTTTGTTTGAATTTCGAACGATATCGACGTGAGCGGTGATTTTTATTTGTGGACCGTAATTCGATACAAAATTATCGATAAATGATTGCTGAATAAATTCTTGCACATAATGGATCACATCATTTTCCGATTTGATGGTTAAAACCGCACGCAACATATGTATGTATATGAATGATGTCACCGAGATATAATACGGGAAATACACCGAATCGAACATGAAACATCCCGAAACCGATAGAGAACCGAGTCAAACACGGAGAAAATTGGTTTTTGATTTTAAACAATGTACATTATTAATACAAATAGAATTCCACAATTTGTTATTAGATTAAGCTGATTGCGACAGCATTTACAAAAGTGTCTAATTAAAATGATTGAGTGCTAGATAATGACTTGATTGTTTGATAATGAAGCGCAAATTATTCTTTAGTGCAACTTGATTCAAATTTTACCTCATCCTATACGATGCGGTCATGCACTTGGGCGAAACGTTCTAAAGAACTAACGAACTGAATATGTTGAAACTTTGAATTCGGTGTGTGAAATGGAAGTCGACAATTCAGAGGGGAAAAAAGTTGTTATTTATTACAATCCATTTTATGAAAATTTGAAATCTGTTTAAAACTAGAAACTATTACAACAAACATTTCAACAGATCAATTGTTATTTGTTTCAATTTGTTTGGTATGAAAGTTTTGTAAGCTCTTCTTCCACTCCGTTCATTTTGAATAACATAAAAGTTGTTAGCATATAAATGATCAACCATTTAACTTTATTCAATTGAAAAATACAAATTGGTCCAAAGTTAAAGGTTACACTTATCGGATTGTCACAGCAAAAAAGGTGAAACATTTCAATTTTTTCTTTCATTTCAATTCTTTGGTGCGCTTTTTGAAAAAAAAAACTAAAATTAAGTGAAATTTACTTGTAAATAACTTGTTTGGTGAAGATGTTTATTTTCATTTTTCCCATGTGTATGCTGACCCCTCGTATTAATTGCGTAATTCGAATTTATGTGGGCTATCTGTTCACCATACATTGGATTAACAGTTTATTATTCGATTACAGCTCTTTTTTTTCTTTTCAACAATAATAATTAAAAAATTGGTTCGATTTTCAGTTACTGCAAAACAAATGATGTTGACATACGTTTTTGTACGCTTTAATGCTTGTTAATTTGTGTATAAATACTCAAACAAACAACAACCCGAAGTGAGAGTCATGTATTACAAAGGAATTATATTGTTTTCTCCATTTTTTCATGGAAAACAGAATCAAAATAAATTTTTTATCTTAAAAAAAAATGTGCAAGTACTTGATAAATTATTCCTGGATGATATCGTCGAATGCTGCTAGATTGTTGTTGATAGATTTAACTTTGTTTTATTGTATAACTGATAATATTTCACTTGGTATTTATTGAATACGAAGACAATTCAAAATCCAATTCAGTTAATTCCATAAATCAATTCGTATCAATATTTAAATTGTTAGAATATATTGTTTTGTTAATCAATTGTATTTAATTTTTCATAATTAAAATTCCACCAAAACAGCACATTTATAATTTGGCCAAAAATTTCACTGGGCTCAGATGTTAATTTACAAAAGTCGTACAAATGAATTATTATTTAAATCTGTATCTCTTAATTGAACGATCGATTTTTGTGATTTTGTAAACAAATTGTATTATTGGTTGTAAATTTTACATCAATGCAATTGAAAATTTAATGCGAACACAAAATCTATAAATATTTTTGGAAAAAACGCTTGCACTAAACACTTCGATTATATCAAAAAGCGTTCAACGTATTATTTAGAAAACCATTTTTAAATCACATGACACAATAAAACCCCCATGCGCGACACAAACGCTACCATTGCAAATAACGTACTGAAGTTTGGAGTAGCGTAACGTTGAGTTAAATATTGAAAATACGCATTCAGTTGGATGGCGTGTTTTGCTTCATGCTGTATGCGCGCGTTACATTCAATTTGAACTCGACTTTTTGGCAATCATTCTATGTGCAGCATACGGGCTTAGTGGCGTAGCACAGAGACTAGCATTCATTGAGTCTGTGTATTTACAACATATCCGTTTTTTTCTTCTTTCATTTTATCAATTTAGAATGATGGAAAAATTTGTTCATGATTGCATTGCAAGCGGCTCGACCTTATATTTGTTTTATTCATTCGAAAGCGCACTTGATTTGATTCATTTTTTTAAATAAGGACAAACTCATCAATTCGTGCTACATAGACTAATAAATCCCATTCAGAATTACGTTAAATTTTGAAGTTTTTGTTTCGTCATCAATTAATATTATCACTTTTTTTCACATTTTATATGCTAATTTCAACATTTAATAAATTTTAAAGCTTTTTAATTTTGTTAAATAGCGGAATTGATACAGGAGATTTGGGGATAATTCAAATTTGTACACGTGCTTTGTCTTTTGCATTTTTTATCAAAGACTTTTTTCTCTTTTTTTTTTTTCAAAATTTGTTTTCATTTGTTTTTCTGTCTAATAATAATAGTTTCTTCGAGAAAAAAATTGGAATAATGAAATAAATTGGCTTTTTTAGAAATAATCGTTATCATGAAAGACTTGTAATATTAACAAACTTGTAATCGGGTTTCCTGTCTGCTTCATTGGTGTCGTTAAAATTATTCCAAGTAAAGCATTTTTATTTAACAAAACGGAACGTTTATAACAAATATGATTTGCACGCCTTCTCCAGTTTGTGGGGAATTTCTCCGCACTTCTATCCAAATGACACGAATGTGTCACAATTCATACTCGGATTGGAGTTGCGCAGTACTGATTTTGGGACAGTTGTTGAAATCTTATTTCTGATTCGGTAAAGTCCAAAATTGGGGAAATTTGTGTCGTATTACTTCGAATAAATAAACAGACTGCAAAAGAAAAACAACCTATCTAAACAAAAATAATCACATGTGTGTTTTAATACTTCATTATATTATGATTCGAGGAATTGAAATAAAATTAGAGAAAAATCGTGCTTTTCCAATGAAACCTATTCTAATTTTGGTGAAAATCTCCTAAACAGTTTCACATTTACTTTAGTCAAACCTTCTACAAAAACTTATTGAAATTACATCAGCGATCACTCTTCATAGATGTTTAATATCGTTTTGGTGCTTCACAATGTTTTGGCGCTGCAATGTTGTTAAATGTCGAACGAATTATCCCATTTCAGAAAACAAATCAAGGGAGAAAAGCAGCACAAGTGGAAACTGACGACATACGAGGTATAACGTATGGACGAACAGAACCGTAACGAAAGAATAAAAAATACCAGAAAACTGGTGAAATCGAACGAGTGATTGTGATATGAGCATGAATAACATAGCAACTAGCTTAGAAACATGTTGAATCGGTTAATTTAATGCCAGCTCTAGAGTCGGGAATTCTTTTGCACAAAATGTATTTTGGTGACCTCGTCGCAAACGAATTGATAAAACAGTGAATTTAATTCTGACTCATTTCCATTTTCTGCTTGGTTCGCCCTTTTTCTCGCTCAAAACACGATGCAGCTTCACAAGCACAGAGACACACACACGCTGTGTGCCTTATACGTTAGCCAGATAATTGTTTGTGTTATTTTGGTTAAGTCAATGCTGCGAACGTTGATCATGTACCATTTACAAATAAACCACTCTCTTCTTGGGAGCGTTTATTTTCAATTTTCATATTATTCCATTTATTCTTTCTGCAGCACAGTGAGACGAAGACAGTTTGCGGACAAGTGGATAGAATTGGGATTCGCATTGTTTTCAGCTATCTTTGATAAGTAAATATTTAATCGGGAATGGAAAATAATTAGCATATCAAGGGTATGAGCAAGATTGTTGTTTAAGAAGCATCAATTTAACGAATATATCCATTCTGGACATTGATTTTCACCGAAAATTTTCATTTCATCACCAAAAACATCAACGAGAACTCTCATTTGGCCAGAATGACAAGTAGGCAAACAAAGTTAATTTACATGCAAAACTGTTTCGATCTATGTTGTGGCTTCGGTTTTTAGACGATACAAGTAATCTTCAGACAACCGAATCAGCAAAATTTCCATAACACAGAGAGAAGTGTTTGGATTTTCTTTTCTTTACATTTGTTTACAAGATATCAAGTGGCAATTTTGGAAGAAAAAAGGGGATGGTTAAATGCAGTTCAATGAGCCCAAAGCTATGAATGGAGATCGAAAAAATCGATAGTTTCATTGATTTTGAATAAAGTTTAATTTTTTTTTCATTAAAATTCAATAACGTTCCCTTAAATTCTATCAAAACGGACCGAATCGAAGACTCAGCTCAAGGTCCACTACATGTTACCACCATCTTTTCTTAACTGACGTTCCGTCATTTTGCCAAAAAAAAAAGATTCAATGTCAACGTAACTGCTCTGTTTATGGCATACAAGACGTTCAAAATATAAACACGTATGTATATTTTATTACGACAGTCTGATGATGATTGTGCATGAACATAGAAAGTGGCAAGTCACCAATTTGCACTTGTGTGCTTGACCATCAACGATGATACGAAATGGCTTTTGTGAAAATGTATTTAAGGTTATATTTTATTGGTCGTTAGCCAACCACTTTGCACATATTTGTATCGTTTTCGCCACCATGATTTTGTATCTGTGGGACGCTTTTTGTACATTACACAGTTTGCGTGCACATGTGAAACATATGGTTCGAACAATAGTTTGGCTTAAGATTTAATACATCAGTCTAAAGTATAAAATCATGCTTCCGAAAAATAGCATGAATTTCATACTGAAAAAAGAAATCGGATGGTCATGCCGAGAATTTCGCCTGCAAATTTTTTCCAAGCCACAACTGCGGTGCATAGTTTTTCAAGCTGTTTCACACACACACACACTTCGGCAACGCACAAAAAGCCACCAAAGTCACATCACATTTTTTTCTCTTCAGTTTTATTCGTTTTGTCACAATCGTTAGTTACATCAAACTGCAAAGAATCAAAAGAGAAAAAAATCGCATACAACACACACCACACACTACTGACGATAACATAAAATGACACAAACGAAGGAAAACCACGTCCAATAAACCGCATATGTTGACAACAACTTTATTAATCTAATCTTCACTCATTTATTCCCAATGGCGAAATCAAGTTGTGTGAACATTTATAATAGATTATTGTTGATTCCATTAATATCAATGTTGGTTTCGAATGGATTATGTTGAACTACATAACTTATTGTTCAAAAAAATAAAAGTAGCAGAATTATATTTGTATCGGTTGTATTGTAGACGAAATTTGATTTTTTATCGATATTTCTATATTTCTGATATATCTGGGTTATTTATAAAGGAAAACAAATGTAGAATAAGTGCAACCGACGAAGATTCTATGTTGAATATAAATAATTTAAATGGATTTGCTATGAAGCGCATCTTCTGTTTTACTTGATTTGGTTTATCTGGCAGTTTTCCACATTGGATAAAAATAAAACATTATTTACGAAAATCACGCAACGACTACATCCAGATATGATACTTACATCAAATAATCTTTCGTTGTTCTATTTTTAAATACAGTGCCGTGCAAAAGTTTGAGACCACCTATGTATTTTTCATACAAAATGGCGTAAAATACCATTTTTTGAGGTTTTAAAAATAATAGCTGTTTTTAGCTATCATTGGATTCAAAGACTTGCCATTTCAAAACCAGTGAATATTTTTTTCTAAATATTTACTATTTTGTTCTTCATAAGATATTGAAACAATATGCCGAAAATCATTGATTTCTGAGAATAAAAAGTATTATTTTGTATGAAAAATACATAGGTGGCCTCAAAATTTTGCACGGCACTGTAGTTTTTAATGATAAAATCGATGTAAATACATTTATCGAAAGCAATTCAATGTTACTAAGAGCGTTTGCATAAAACTCACAATTTAACTATTTATAGAAACTTAAAATAGATCCACCTTAATTTCGGTTTTGATTGAAAATTCTGTTATTGTTTGAGTTGAATACAACAAAATTGGCAGAAAATTACTTATTTTGATTTCAATGTAACAAGACAACGCACGATTGTAAATCGCGAGGGAGTTCAATTTACTCCAGCTAAACTTTTGAAGTCGAAGCCTGCATCATATTGAACACTATTATTTCAAACAATTTCAATAGTAAAACTTCCAATATTAATATACAGACTTGAAATCAATTCAAAGAAATTCCATCTCTCAACTATTATCAGATTTGAAAATCATCGTACATTGTAAACAATTGTAAATCAACTATAGTTATTAGTCATCAACGATTTACATCACGTTCGTTAGATAGTATTTCTACAATGTTGAATCAATTGTCAAAAACGCTTGAAACTCATCCTATCAAGCCGCTAATTCACTAACGTGCTTTATGAACTGTGGATATGTACAGATATTGCAAACTTTTCAAACTATTTTTACGGTTCAAAATGAATATTAGTTCTCACTTTGTAGAAATAGCTTGTAAACCTGAATGCATACATTAAGTCCAATTTCGCTCTGAATTGACTTTTAAATTATGTTGCGTAACAAATATGCGATCAACAAATAAGTTACCGAGAATTCTGAAGTCATCATCTATTCGTTTTTTTAAATCGTGCTTAATAACAAGCAAACAACAACAATGTATAACGTTATTGCCTCGAATCGAGGCATTTATATAATTACACATTTCTTTCAAGGCTGTTCAATGTCAAAAAGTAAAAAAAAAATATTTTTCAAGAGATTTAATTTGTTTTTGCAAAATCAAACACCAAACAGAGGTATGTCATTCCAAGTTTTTCACCGAAAATGCAATTGATAAAAAGCTACATCCGAAACAATCATCAAATAGGTCAGTTAAAGATAAGATTAAGCCTTTTGTCGAACCCCCAAAATTACATAAGGCAACCAACGACTTTGATTCGTTTGATTGACAGGTATTCAACTAGTTCGAGTATTTGATTCGATGATAAATGATTGAATTTGAAGAGTCACCACCACCACGAATGGAAGAGTACCGGTTTGTTTGTGAGTGACGTAAATTATGAAGTTGATTGTTTTTTAAAATAATAAGTACTCTTGAGATTTTCTGATAATTTACCGATGACTAAAGAAATGTTTGTTGATAAGAAAAGTACCTGCATTTTTTCATAATACCGTGTATAAATAAAGCGCGAATTTACACTCTGGACAAGTATTTCATTTGAGCTAACTCGAGCATCGTTGTGCTTTATTTTTTCTAAACGCATTTCATTTAAACTTATTAAAATGGCAAAGGCTATTATTTCATTGTTGATCGGTTGCACTATTTTCCTGTTACCAATCAACGGGCAGAACTACAACGAAAAGTATCGTCTTCAAGTTCATTATTCCGTACCATCGGGTTGGATGAATGATCCAAATGGATTGATATATGAAGACGGTTACTATCATCTATTTTATCAGTACAATCCCGCTAGCACAACATTCGGACCACCACATTGGGGACATGCACAATCACTCGATTTGGTGCACTGGGAGAACTTACCGATTGCAATATATCCATACAACGAACAATGGATATTCAGTGGATGCTGCGTCCTCGACAAAGACAACGTTACTGGTTTTGGTTCGCATTTGCCGGGACAATCTGAACAGCCACTAATTGCCATATACACACTTCATGAACAACACGGTGAAACACACAAAGAAACTCAAGGATTGTCATATTCACTTGATAAAGGTATGACATGGACTTATTACGATGCAAATCCAATCATTCCAAGTCTTGGCATACCAGATTTCCGCGACCCAAATGTTTTCGAACGCAATGGAACATTTTATATGGTCTTGGCAGAGTTTGATCGAATTGAATTTTTTAAAAGCAAAAATCTCATAAATTGGGAACCAATCAGTAAATTTGGTGTGGATCCGATGGAAGGCAGTAAAGATGGTGTCTGGGAATGTCCGTCACTATTTTCATTGAAAGATGAACAAAACAATGAACATGACGTGTTAGTTGTTTCGGAAAACATACCAAACAGTGCTATTGAATACTTCATCGGTAAATTCGATGGAGTAAAATTCAATACGTACAATAAGTCAAGATCGTTAAGACTTGATTTTGGTCATGACAATTTTGCCGCCGTTCCATATGTCAATGATCCATTTGGACGAATTATCATGGTGAGTTGGATGTCCAATTGGAATTATTCACTTGATACACCAACATCAACGTGGCGTGGACAAATGACAATTCCACGTGAACTGAAACTTAAAACGGTTGATGGCAGTCTCTATCTTGTGCAGCGTTTGGTTGATGATTTGTACAGCCTCATTGATGGATCAAGACAATGGTCACTATCAACACCATACCATTTACTCGGCAATCAAAACATCAACTTATCATCACTCATGCCATTCAAAACGGGTTCAATGCTAATATTGGAGTATGCCATAAACATTGAAAATATTAGAAATGGTGAAATTGGCATAAAATTCGGTAACAATCTCGGCGAATCGGTTTTATTCCATTACAATGTGAGCAGTGACACTTATGTATTTGATCGCCGGAAATCTGGAAATGTAACATTTAACACGAAATTTGCGGATCAAATTGCGAAAGCCAAACGTATTAGTACAAGCAAATGCCTTTCTGGACAAATTCTTTTAGACACAGCGTCGATTGAAGTATTTGCCGATGATGGTTTGAGTGTATTCACTTCATTATTCTTCCCAACCGAACCATACGAAAACATTGAATTGATTTTTGATACGGCAGACAAATCAGCGACTGTGGAAAAGTTAAGCGTTTCAGCATTACACAGTATTTGGACGTAAAAAAAAATCAAAATCGATCTCTGCATAATCACAAGGAACACGATAATAAGTACGATGCAATTAAGTAACAATAATTTATTGTAATATTTAGTTTTTAAGAATTAAGTTTAAATATGAAAAATTATGAATTCTGAATATTGTTCATTATTTTCAATAAATAAATTTTTTGGTAATAGATTTTCATCAATCAACACTAATTTCTCTATAAACCTCTCTCTATAATTGGCTTTTTTGGTCGTATACTCTCGAAAGAGTGAGAAGTTTGATAGGTCTTTGTTCCTATTTTTTAAAAGTTATTTAATGCATGGTCAAATTCATACACATCAAATACTCTTAGAGTGCTGGTTGTGGATTGGAAAGCAGCAATATAATTTCTGAATTATTTAAATCAACTTGTGAAAGCTTTTCTCGATGTTTTACACACTTTAGTTAAGACGTTTTTCTTGTATGCAAATGAAGATTACACGATGAATAACCTATTCAATTCTCATTATAAATAAAAAAAAATCATCTGAAAACTGAAAACATTGAAATAAATGTTACATGTTTGATTTCCAACTATTTCATCTATGTTTTTTGTACAAACAAAGTGAAGACCATTAATTTCATTGATGCGAGTGTACTTTCCAATGTATTATATCTTTTTTGCTTGTATTGGTGCTGAAACTGAGTGCATTGCCTGTTTCAATATCAGTTCTATTGCATCTTGTGTTGCTACCATAATCATCTCTAATGTTCTGAAAAACAGAATAAATGCTCCATGCTATGCGCCGGTTAATTTTTTTTATTTTTGCTTCGGTTTTTCGGTCGATTCATTCATATAAACGTACACAATTTTCTCTTGTGCTTTCGACAAATAGTACATTGCCGCCGTGGAATTTATGGGAATGAGAAATTAAAACCAACTTTCAGTTACATAAATTTCATACTTGGCCCAGTATTTTAAAACACACATGCACGATAGGAAATAATAATAATGGAATCGCATGCATTTAAATGTTCGTTTTCTCTTTGTCCCTCTATTAGTTCCAACCCACCATTACTCTCTCTCTCTCCACACTCTTTGTATTACAGATATTCGCACAATACGCATATTTGCGAACCACATGAGCGCATCGTATTTCTTGGTATGCCATCGCACTTTAGTCGTTGTTCTTTTCCAATGCGCTCTTTTGGCTTTAGCATATATGAAAACTATGGGGCAAAATAAATTGCCTCTGGCAAGAAGATGAAACAGGACACGAAAAAAAACCACGTGCTGGGTAAACTGGCAGCAGCAGCAGCAGGCGGTCGCTTTTTCACTTTTTTCCCTGCTTTGTTCCATTTTTGGTCGCGAAAAGCGGCGATAATGGAAAATGCAATAAGATTCATAGAGAGCGAGTGTGCACTTTCGAAACGGAAAAGAAACAAGACGAAATAAGGAAAAGCATTACAGCTGCGTGCAACTTTACTTTAAGACTCTTTATGAAAACGGCAAAAGTTAATCTCTTTCACATCATCACATCTTCGTCCGAGGTTAAGAAGTTGAAACACTAGAAACTTAATTACTCGAGTCTGTTGTGAATTTATGTTTTACTTTACATCATCGTTAACATACTATACTGGTTAAAGTGGTTGCCAAAATAGTTCATTCAAAGCGAATTTTAAGTTTTTCAGCCTGTTTCGTTCGGCATGCCATTCAATTTTCTGGAATTTTTCAGGGGGCCTTTGCGAAATGAAAAATGTCCGCAATTATTCATGGCACTTTTTCAAACCGATATTTTCAACGAGCAAATTGAAAAGCAAAATATGACTGTCATTCGCACGGAAATTGACTTCATTTGACGTCAAAGAATTCTCATTGATCAGTGATGGTTTTAAATGAAAACTAGTGTTGCGTTAAATGAAAGACAACCTTCGATGACGATAAAATGTGAAAATTGTTTGTTTCGGCAAATATCTATTTCCAGCACCAGCAGCAGTGATAGTACCTTATATGTTTAGTTGACTGCGTGTTATATTTTTCTGTCTTGTTGAGTTGTTCACTTTTCCCTTGGAATGTGTTGTTATTTTTTTGTTTGATTTGGTGACAATTTTCAAGTACAATGAGCTGAACAACGCGCAAAGGCATTCAAAGCACAAACCAGTTAGTGCCTTTGTATTCCACTTCCAACAATGACCCAATCATCTTATGGAGAGGTTGTTGAAGTGGTCGTTTTGCTTGCGCAAACAATCTTGATAGACGAGCAGACAGACACGACACCACTTCTTCTCATTTTCTTTCCTTCTCGCTTTTTATCTTCTCTGGCATTGTCGCATTGGAATTGATACGCAGAGCGATCGACAAAAAAAGGAAGAAAAAAAATACTTATTGGAAAATTCAATTTATTTGTGACAAAATGACAATCATGAATGACACTTTTATTTTGGTTTCGGAAATTACCGCATATAAGTTCTCAGAGTCGCTTAACTCGTAAATGAGGCACAACAAACAATGTGGTGGTGATGGTGGTGTCGAGACGAAAAAAGAAGAATATCTCATGCCACCAACGAATATGTGTGTGTGTGCACATCATTATGGAAGCTACTCTATATACCACTTGATTCACTTCTTTATCGAGCATACGAAATAAACACGTATAATATAAATTATTGGAATCTATACATTGTGGTTTTGTAATATTTTGGCTTTTGTTTGGTTTTTCCGATGCTCCGATGTTCGAAACGCATGAATAACATATGAAACCGAAACTGATATAACCAATATTAAATACGATCAGTATAGCGGCATGCACAAAAGGCAAAATGTGAAAACCACAAAAGTAGTTTACAGAAACTCTCTCTCTCCCTGAAGTCTATAAAAGAGAGAAAGTAGCAAAAAGAATGCGGCCATCGTGCCCTGCAACACCAAAGTAATACGGAGCGAAATAGTAAACGACACAAATCAAATAACAAGTTGTGTAAACCAAACCAAAAACAAACACATGCACACACACGCTCCAACGACAAATGAAAGAGAAAAATCTGAGTGTTTGACCGGATATGTGCAGGGAATTTATCTTCCGATTTCGGTTAGAATAACGTAACCATTTTGACCAAACAAACATTGAACATATAAACATCTATCAAGCGTGCATCGGTGACATTGACAATATTTATGCAGTTCTTCATCACGAGCATGTGCCATCCACCGACACACGACAATTTCACTCTTTAACCAGTGCGTATTCATTCTACTGATTCAAACTTAATTTAAAAGTTTTTCAGTGTTAATTTAGATAAATTTGATGCGGATAAATTAAATGGATAAATTGGTTTTGATGATCACTTTGGGCATCAATTACAATAGTTCCGTTTCATTTTCTGGAATAAACTTTGGAAAAATGTCTCGAATATTTCCATAGAATTGCTGTTTATGTAAATGTTAATCGATTTTTGCTTGACTATATAGTTTCGTGTGAATATGTTATTCATTCTTGCTTTTTCTGGAATTCTCCTATGTCTGCATACTAGAACTGTCGTTCGATCTACCCTATCAATTTATTTGCTGTCACACTCGGCGAACAATCCAACGAAATTAAGCAATAATGTTTTATTGTTCACGACATATCGTCGCAAGTGTCAATAGCTGTTGAATATAAAATAAAATTTATCTACATGCAATTAAATGTTTAACCAGATAAACAAGAACAGTGTCTTTATCACTCATTCTTGCGTAAAATGTGTGTGCATTGCTTGGAAAATAGGAAATAACATCGATTTTTCGATTGTCTGAATACAAAAGCGGCGCGGCAGTGACGGTGACGGCGGTTCAAAGAATAAAAAGATTAAAAGTGTGCTGCAAACGGTTCTCGATTAGGCAATTGATTTGGATTTTTATGAAAATAAGAATGCGAAGCATTTTCTTTCCCTTTTCTTGCTCGAATGATATTGCTGCTTGTTTTCATTTCGCTTGCCAGTTTTATCGGCGATGAGTTAGGCACGCGTACACTCACCACCCATATATACCATTCATATTGAGCAGATACGGTCTCTGAGATAAATCAGGTTGGTTTTCTTTTTGTTTCGATTCCCTGTGCTTCTTATCCCGCCTTTTATTACATTGGCGCTTGCTGGTATTTTACATTTTATTTATAAAATATATTAAGTGAAACATGTTCAATTTTACATCCATATGCAGGGCTGTTATTTTCACTCTGTCAGTGCACGCACACAGTAGTGTGCACACTCACACTCAATGTGCGTCGCACACAGTGCTTGTATTTTGAATGTGCACGCACACTTAGTTACAAATTTGCCAACCGCCAAAAATGTCAAACTTGTGACTAAGTGTGCGCGCACATGCAAAATACAAGCATTGTGTGCGACGCACATAGAATGTGAGTGTGCACACTACTGTGTGCGTGCACTGACAGAGTGAAAATTACAGCCCTGTCCATATGCATGTTTGTATAGCTAATTCATTCGTTTACCAGGTCATAGATCTTTCGATTATTCAAAAGCTCTGGAGACGTGATGATGTGTAAGTATTACATCCAGAATAAATATAGAATGTTTATTCGGTAGATAACCCCGTTTTATTGCGTAAAATTCAATCAAAAATGCCTCAATCTTCATGTTTTCGAGATTAAAACATTTATCTTTTACCGAATTAAATGTGAAAACTCTTAAGCTGTTAGGTTATTAAAATTATTTTAATAATAAAACTGTCTTAGTAAGTAAAATTGAAATGTTTAGTGTTTTCCAACCAATTTGATACATTTGAATTTTGTTACAAGCACTTTAAAAACGAAAGAATGATATTAAAAAACTATGAAACGTTAACATCGAGTGACTTTTACAAGTTCAATTCCAATATAATGTAGTGTTCTATGCTATCAGTCTATCTGATAAATTATCAGACAGTGATAATGTTACAGATAAAATGTGTGTATTTTTCGATAAAGGCTAGAAGATGTGCCTTTGTTTTATTTGCTTGTTTTTGGTTTGACAAAAGTATAAAAAGCGTAACGAAGGGTGATTGGATTCAACTATTCCAATTTTACGATGCCTACTAAAATATGTGGCCTACAATGTTGTTCCGTCAAACCCAATTTCCCTCGCACTAGCACATTTAACCATAAAATTTATTAGCTCATCAATTGTAGAGCATCCTTCCAACTCAACAGTCCACTGTTATCATTGAACCGTTTCGATTC